GTCCTCCACCATGCGTTTTTCAAGGCACTCTCTCAAGCACAACCACTCTTTGGAATGAACTTCCAGCAGCAGTATTTCCGAACCGATACGACAACATAACCTTCAAGAAAAGAGCATATTCCTTTTTAAAAGGCCGGCAGCACACCAGCAATGCCGTTGGTGTTGTGGGGTGATCATGGGCGGCGGTAGTCACTTACCATCAGGTGAGCCGTATGCTCGTTTGCCCCCTGTGTTGTAAAAAAAAAGACCACATGGAACTGTATACACAATTTATATATTAGTATTCATAGAATATGAATATCCAAAGATTTACACGAAAATAGCTACCGTTAACGACATAAAAGCAAACAAGTTAAATACGAACAAAGAGTAAACCCAAGAGTTTGTTTAGGGTGAAACGGAAATTCATTAATTTTCAAGTTCCGGATACATTTAGAGGCGTTTGTGTGAGCGATCAGCCGTCACAAACATTGAACAAAGCTCAGAGTTTAAACAAAACCGTATGAATAATAAAACTGGTAGACGCGCCCAGTCGGTATTGTGGGAACGTCGAAATTATTCTGGAATTTTTTTAAAATTTTTATTTTAAATTGTAAGTCTTCTTAAATTTACCAGAGGTTAGAACCTTTTTCTTTTAGAAGTTCATTGAAAAGGCGTCTGCTTTGATACCTCTATTCTATTCGTGTCTCTGCCATGAAGTAGTTATGTTTCGGTTTGATGGAATATGGCAGTGAAGTTTACAGAGGCATAACATCTTGGCAACGCATGAAGGGTGATAAATAGGCGACACAGTATCATGATACCGGTTCGTCGACCTCCGCACGGTTCCCCCTGGAAACTATCGTGACTAATTTAATGATAAATTCATTGAATTCGTCACGATGGGCTAACTGGCTTGCCTTTTCATTCTCACCTATCACCTCTCACTGGTACCCCGCCAGTGTATACCGATAGCACAGATGGGGTAACCATGCCATTTTCACCTGTAAAAAAAGTACCATGATACCGTTCATGTCTACGAGTATAGGCGACGGTTACCAATTTCCATCAGCTTGTTTATAATTCTAAGTTGCATAAAAAAAAATGTTTAACAGGCCAAGAAATGTGAACGATATCTGGTACACTTTCATTGGAGAAAACCCGTAAATTCACCTCAAAAGCTATTCCAACAAGCTGTATTAGAAATTTGCGACAGAGAAGGGTGTCGCACCCAAAAAATGGCCACGCAAAGTGTTTTTTACGGCTATAATACGAGTTTATTAAAATATTTAAAGCGTAACTTTAGTCTGAATTTCCCCAAAGACTACCCAGAAGGTCCCCGTCCCTCTGATATGTACCGTTTGTTGCAGCTATAAAGTCAATAGAATGGTCACAGTATTTTATCTCTATAGATGAAATGCTTCAGATTTTTTTTATAATATATAATAAATAATATAAAATGACTTATTCAATAATTAAAATGGTAAAAAACATATACCATATGTATGCAACATATCTGTCACGCCTGTCTCTCGTTTTTTTGAAATAGTAAATAAATTACTCTTTCTCTATTAAAAGTTTCCTCTTGTCGGTGCAACTAATTTATGCACTATCCCAGGCCATATTCTTGACCTTCCTGTACGACATGATACCTAGTGTTTTCCTTTACCTGTCCCATGTAGTTATTCCTTGATCTTTACCTTCCTCTCTTGCCCTCTACTTTTCCTTCTACTATGCTCTTTAAAATATCGTCATGTCGTATAAGGTGACCCAGCATTTTGCCTCTTCTATTCTCTATTGTTCTTATTAATGTTCGTTTCCCATTCCCCTTTTCAAGACTTCCTGATTCATTACTTTTTCTTTCATTCTTCTCCATGTCCAGATTTCGAATGCCACAAGCATCTTTTTTTCCTTTTGCTTCATTGTCCCTGTTTCACACCCATTTATTAATTTATTATTCATTAGCATAAATATGTATACATGGCGGACTTAATGCTAAAAGCATTCTCTACCAGTCAACCCATATAATGCTATGCTCCAAATGTAAGTTTTTATAAATTTTTGGAAAGAAATTATTGCATATTAAAATGACTGATTTTAAGCATAGGAAGTGTGTAACATCGGCGTGTAGATGTGAGCAGCATAACTGAATCAGAGTATCTTAAATATGTCAATCAACAGATATATCATCTTATTTTTAACCGACTTTAAATAGAGTCGTTGCCATTTCTGAGTCCCTAGGAATGGCAACGCATGGGGGGTATCATGGGCGAAACAGTACACTCTGTTATGTCCATGGTACTGCTCATGTCTATAGGCGACGGTTACCACTTTCTATTAGGTGGGCCGTCAGCTTGTTTGCCATTCTAAGTTGTATAAAAAAAAAGGAAGAGGTTCTCACTTCGGTTATACTTTTTTAAAGTTTGTTACCTCATAACTCCGTCAGTTTTAAAACGATTTGGATTTTTTTTATATCTAAAATAATATACTTACAGATTGTATTACAAGCTCATTGAAATTTTAATACAATTAGTGTAGTAGTCGAGTTTTCAGATCAATATATCTTATTGACCATTCCACCAAAGAATTATTTTTCCACGCCATCCACAGGGTGATAAATTAAAATGGGCGAATGAGGGACCCCAACACGTTAGGATAATGAGCTAGATTTTTTTTTTCACTTTAATCACGAAAGTACTTCCTGTTTACTCATCAAGTGTTTAATTAAATTAAAAACTTTGAACGTTTATGTCCGGTAATGGCGTAATTGCGGGTCTCTGACGAAAGATGGCTTGAATCCTTTAGCCCTTTTTTTGGGTTAATTGAGAATGTAACTGAAGTATAGAAGGGTTTTTAAACTTTGAGGTTTGGATGCTTTTAGTATACTAAAGGGGATTATTTACGTATGTTTTATAAATTAATTTTTGGAACAAGGGCATAGGATATAACTATTACGGGATATGTCAGTAAAGTGTTTGTTACCAAACTCTTCCGAAACGGCTTTACCGATTTTTATGAAATTTTGTGTGCATATTGGGTAGGTCTGAGAATCGGCCAACATCTATTTTTCATACCCCTTAATGATAGGGGTGACCCACCCCTAAATATTTTTTTTTATTTTAGACATGTTTTTTTATTTTTATTTTGTTATGATTTAGCATTGAAAAATACATACAAAATAAAATTTTCACGCTTTTACGATCAACCCCTGTTGTTTAATCGTAATTTTTATATGCCACAATAGAGTTGCAGGATGACAATCGAATACAATAATTTTAGTACGATATATTTTCATGTATAGTTCTCGAAATAATGTATATGGTAAAACAACGTTTACCGAGTCAGCTAGTATATATATTTATGAAAGGACAAATAAAAAAGCAAAAAGAAAATTATAATGACGACTAAATGCTGGAATAACATACTCCCTCCAATGAGACTAGCTGCATCCAAATCAATTTTTAAAAAATTAATAAAACAGGATTTACTAACTAAACAAAAACTTGGGTTGGTCGCCTGGTAGCGTCTGCTTTCAACATAATAATTATTGTGGTGAATTATTTATATTGTATGTTTAATTAATCAATAAAATATATTATTTATGCATCATTTATATAAGTATCTATATAATACAATTTTACCTTTGGCTGTTAAATTGGGTACACAGGTTACACTCTGGGTTTGTTGTACGCGTCCGTGTAACCTAACTTCAGGCTGCAGAAAATCAGTGCTTTGCTTTTAAGCAAAACCATCACTGAGCTGTAGCCTATTTGGGGGACTGCGACACACATGGCGAAACCATATTTTCATATTTTATCTTTTGTTGTATATTTTAAAGGTGTAAATAATTTGATTGTATAAACTCATTTGTAAATTTACGTGTGTCATAAATGGCTCAAATAAAAAGTTTATCTATCTATCTATCTATCTATATTATTTATTTTTATTAGAAAATCCAACAAATTCATCAAAGAATAAGCATAGTACCGAACTACTTAAACTGCAGTTTGTAGGTATTAAATATCCGAAAACATTAGTTTTTCCTTTCCGTAGCATAGAGATTGCGTGATGGTTTACTCGTTAACATAAATTGGCAACGAGTTCCGTATAATTAATTCTTATTTTATAAATGAAGGTCGAATATCTAACAGATTTGCTAAAATTATACATGATGAAGAAATTGCTAATAGTATGCTTGACATTGAGACAGTTTCACAGTAACGGATTTGTCAATGTGAAATTGTGTCACGTCCGGGGCATCGTAATTTGTTACACGAGTTATACATATGAGGCTAATCTATAATAATTAATTGCCGTTTGCGTATGCGCATTTAATTTGGCTAATATCTTTTCTAATATTAGCTTAATTTAAAATGATATTTTTAGTGAGGTAATAGTAGTGGATGATTTTATTTTATTATTATCTATTTAAAAAGATGTAGAGAGGTTCAAAGTGTAAATTGTAAACTGTTTTTTTTTATGTTTATATGTATTTTTTTATTATATTTATATGATATATTTTGTTTTTTTTTATTGTCCTATATAGAGTATTCTTTTTAATATTAATTCTTAATTTTCTTTATAAATTTTATTCCCACATTGATTTATTATCAATTAATTAATTAGTTGTAGCGTTTAGTTTCTTAGTGCAATAATAATAATTTTATCGTGAAATCTATTACTAAATAGGTAATATTTAAAACTTAATTACTAGTAAGTAATGAATTGGGTGAAAATAAATACTAAGGTCAATTTGTGTAAAATAAAAAAGTTAGATATAAAAAAAAAGTTTATTTAAAAAAAAGGTAGAGGAAACACTTATAATTATAAAAGTTAAACGTAACAATTGCTATTGTTTACATAGGTAAGTGTAGGGTAAATTCTTTTTTCTCCAGAATTATTACATTATTGTCTGAGATGAAATATATATATATATATAATAATAGTTAATGCGGATTTTTAATTTACTTATTGTTACTTATTCATAGAAAAAATAATGTAAAATAAAATTGTATAAAAATGTAACAATTATTTACCACAATTACAATTTTATACAATTTATATTTATACAATATAATATTATAGTAGACCAATTATTTAATGAATACTTGAAAATAAATAATAAAAACTATATCAATAAAAAAAAGACATAGCAAGAAATATAAACGGTTATAATACAGCCATTTTGGTAATTACTTTTCTACTGTTATCTATAAAGAAACTGGCGCGAAGATAAATAAAATAATAATTTTAAAGAAACGTGATTTAGAAAAATAAAAGAAAAAAGAGATTATCTTTTTAAAGGTACTACTTTTAATATTTTTTTAAATAAAAACTAAATATATGAGATATTTATGTTAAACTTTTCTTACTCAATGTGATACTCAAATTCTGTTAAGGAAAAAATCAACCCATATACACATAAATTGGCACTTAGGGTCTGTCTAACCAAAGGATGGCCCTTAAGGGCACTTTTTTATGTTAATCACATTTATTTATATCACATAACTGATTCACATCGTGTTTTTTGATAATAAAATTAAACTGCTAAATATATCCAGTAGACCATCCCTCGTTTGTGAAGACCCTTATCGTGAGACTAGAATGGACTTAACAGATCACCACCATCCGTTACCACCTACAGCGCCGACGGCACCGATAGCCCCAACTCCGTAAGAGGCAACCGCGGGCGCGGCTATGGCGGGTTCAGAGACCACTTTCTTAACAGTGACCACTTGGGGTACGTTGACAACCTTGCGGACTTGCACGACCTGTGGTACGGTGACGACCCTAGGTACGCTGACAACCCTGTTGACGGCGACTACGCGGGGCGCGGCCACTACAGGGGCGGCAATGACTGGAGCGGATACAATTGGAGCGGAAGCAACGACGGGCGCTGACAAGCCGATTCCGCTGCTAAGTCCACCGATTCCGCCGCTGAGTCCACCGAGACCGATTCCGCTGTAGCTGCTGATTCCGATTCCGCCGGAGCTAATGCCACCAAGTACGCCTCGCTTCTCGCGGACTTCGCCGGCGGTTGCCACAGCGACCAGAGCACAAAGAGCTACCTGTTGAAATATGTTAAAAAGCTTTTAGTAAGATGTATATTTAATTTGTATATTTCAATTTGGAAAAGTATTCCTTCTTCTATCAATACAAATTGGTTTATTTAATCAGTCGGTTTTTTCTTATGGGTAAAGATAAAATGGCAACCCCGCCTGCGCTATCAGTATACGCTAGCGGGGCATCTGTGAGAGGTGATAGCTAAGGATAAAAGCAAATTCGTACATATTTTAATTAAATGTGACAAAAATCTGTTGTAATAAAAAAGTATCTAATAATAATAGAAATCGAAAAAATAGAAATAATAATAAAAAATATCTATTTGAAAATACAGAGCTTTTGACATTTTAACACTCTTTCTGCATCAGAGAGCAAAAATGTTTGCGACTCATACAATCACTGTAAGATCCGACATTTTATTAATTTAATAAAATTCACCAATAACTACATTTTACATGCTTACTCAATCAATAATACAAAAATAAGTTTGCTTAATGTAAAAGTTTTTTAGTTTGTCTAAAATTTTCCTTAATAACTTGTATCTGCTGTTAATGGGTCCGAAATTGATGTCAATCAGAGACAATAATGTGTTTTTATTGAAAATTACTTTTTTTTGTCTTAATAACTTATTTACTTCATAACCCCGACATTGCATTAAAATGACTATTCTCGATTTTGAATAAAAAAAAATATTTGAAATACTAACAAATTACCATTAATTAAAAATTGTTATTAAATTTTAAAATACTTTTACAATTTTTAAGGCCCAACAAGAAAAAAGCGTTTTTAGTATTCTTCACTTTATAAAGCCTGTACTTACAAAGATTTTCATTTTGCTTGTCTTGTTGGGTGGTCTCGGAGGAATCAGCTGATGATGTGATGCTGCAGGACCCTCGCCCGGAGCATATATAGTGGATTCGTGCGAAATATTACACAAGTGTCCTCGCAAGCATAGTTGAGCGCCCCCGTTTTGCTCGCAAATCGGACCTGTGATAGTAAACCGACGTAGCACTGATACGAAACAGTTTCGTTAATTTCATCATATTCCGGCTTTATAAACAAACGGTCGATTTGTTTTCGCGCATCTTTTAGTCTGTCTGATCTGAATTAAGGCATAATTATTATTTTTATAATTACTTTTTTTAATATAAATAATATATGATACAGTTAGTGTCTCTTACATTTTATTAATGTAAAGATTTTATTTATTTATCTATTTATTTTTTTATAAATTTATTTATTTATGTATATATTTATTTATTTTCGATTAACAATAATATTTAAGATGTTTTAAATTAACGATAGAGACTTCACTCGTCGACTGCAGGTAAATAGTAACATACTTAATTTTTATTGCCTACATTTCAAACATCGTTTAGCAAACTGATAAATTCCCCAAATTGAATTCTAATACTATATCACTATATCACATCAGCCGTTTACTGTCCACTGCTGAACATAGGACTTCTCAATTTGCTAGTAGTTGCCACGCTTGGAAGGCGGGTTGGCAACCGTGGTTTGGCTTTTGGTGATGTTTTAAGTGGAACACTGCTGATGATTTTCACCGAATCTTTTGTATCATCGGTAGTATTTTGAGGAATTGTTCGGATTGATACCTGGTGCTAAATTTCGCCATCGTACAACCCGCCAGAAACTAAAGTTCCATTGCGACCGTACGTTTTTAAAGCATTTTCTTCAGCAGCAATATTTCCGAACCGATACGACATTATAACCTCCAAGAAAAAAGAATATACCTTTTTAAAAGCCTCTTGTGTTGCGGGTGATCATGGGCGGCAGTAATAACTTTTTTTTGACGGGTGAAAATGGTATGGTTACCCTGCCTGCGCTAACGGGATACCCTGGCGGAGCACCATTGAAGGGTGATAGATGAGAATGAAAACAGGCCAGTTAGCCCATCATGATGAACTCATCAGGAATTAACTATGATAGTTTCCAGGGGGAATCGCGAGGAGGTCGACCTGGTTGAGTATATTGCTAGCAATGGGATTCTCAGTCTTCATTACTAACAATCCCTTTTCCCCGGCAGTAATTACTTACTATCAGGTGAGTTGCATGCTCGTTTGCCCCCTGTGCTATAAAAAAAAGGCACAATGCTGCCCATCTCAGACACGCACGGAAAAAAAGGGGTAGCCCATTTTATGTCGGGACCGCATGGTAACATAAACGTATGTAAATAAGCACAATATATAAGCACAATATATAAGGGGGGGGGGGGTTCTTATATAAATATATCCGTATATAAATAATTAGAAAGAACGCTCTAAACTCTAGAAACTGTAACGTTACACTTTTAAATCTTACAAGTAGTAAGATTTAAAAGTGTAACGTTACAGTTTCTTAACTATGTTATACATTAATTTAATGGCTACAGGTCAATAGTATCAAGCGGTAGACGCTGACTGTCATTCCGGTTACTGGTTTTTTTTAATGGGTAATAATGGTATAGTAGCCCCGTCTGCGCTATCTGGCAGGGCACCAGTGATAGATGACTGATGAGGATGAAAGCAGATCAGTTAGCCCATCCTGAGTAATTCAACTAGAATTAGCCACGATGGTTTCCAGGGGGAACCACGTGGAGGTCGACCTGACAGGGTATATTATTAGTAATGGGGCTGTTTGACCCCATTACTAGCAATCCCTTTCCCCCCTATCGTATCGTATCAACTATAACTTAGTCCTCAGGAATGGCAACACTGTACTCTGTTGTGTCCATGGTACTGCTCATGTGTATAGGCGACGATTACCACTTTCCATCAGATGGGCCATCAGCTTGTTTGCCATTCTAAATTAAATAAAAAAATTCTATATCATTTGTTAATTCATATAATATTGAAAGTGGCTTCAGGGTGAAACCAGACAATTGTTGGTAACGACAAACATAATAAGTGAATAAAATTCCAGATATATATATATGTATATGTCGCTGTGTGGTCCCGGCATAGCATAGGTCACCCCTTCCTTTCCCGTGGGTATCGTAAGAGGCGACTAAGGGAACTTAATGGTCGAGGGATGAGCATCAACGTCTTTTAAAACATCACCAAAGCCTTAGTCTCAATTACTGGCAAAACCCCCCAAGGGGGAGGTTTATGTTCAGCAGTGGACAGTTAAAGGCTGACATGATGATGATGATGATGATGATGATGACGATGATTGTTGTTGGTAATAAAGGATCTATCTATCTTAAAAATGAACATGATCCCAGGCTTGCAAGCGGTATCGAACCCTTAAGTCTTAGGAGAGATTTTGCCTCACTCTGCGTGTGCTACCGCTTGTACAACGGATTGTGCTCAGAGGAATTGTTCAATATGATGCCCACGGCCACTTTCTACCAACGTAGGGCTTACCATCGACAAGGAGTTCATCCTCATGTCCTACAGCCTAAATGGTCGCATACAGCGTCGTTTCAGAAATATTTCCTCACACGAATACTCAGGTTATGGAATGAGCTCCCTGACGAGGTTTTCCCAACAGCATGGGGTTCTTCAAAAGGAGGTAAAGGTAAACAACGGTACGGTAACCGCTTACCATCAGGTGGGCCGTATGCTTGTTTGCCACCTCAGTGGTATAAAAAACAAAAAAACATACAGTTAAGGATTTCTATTCACCTGTATATAGTAGGTATATCCATCTGTATATATACTTTTCCATCTGTTACCCAGGAACAATTGATTTAAATTGCATTCACGTGAAATTGTGCAGCACTGCAGAATGGACTATTAATACCAGGACCCTCGCTCGGTTTTGTCTGCGTTTGAAGCCTGAAAAGCTTTGATTTAAAGGGTCTCACTTAGCAAGAGGTAGCGTGCTCTGCTATTTATGTATATTTTGTATAATATTTACTTAGATTATATAGATAGAGTCTCCATAGAAATGCTTCAAGAAAACTCTTTCATACAATTTTGCGTGATAAATAGTTTGTTTTTTTATAACACAGGGAGCAAACAAACATGCGTCTCGTCTGATGGTAAGTGACTGCCGCCGCCTATGATTACTCACATCGCCAGACGCATTGCAGGTGTGCTGCCGGCCTTTTAAAAAAAGGAATATACTCTTTTCTTGAAGGTTTTGATGTCGTATTGGTTCGGAAATACTACTGTTGGAAGTTGATTCCAAAGAGTGGTTGTGCGTGGAAGAAAGTGCGTTAAAAAACGCACGGTGAAAGACCGCCACTCGTTTAGATGGTTGGAATGAAATTTTAATTTATGGCGGATTGTACGGTAGTTATGTAATGAGTGATTCCTTTATATCTTCTATATTTATTTTGTCTTATAAATTCTGTATCTTTTTAATGTGCAAAAATGCATTTTATTTATTAAATAATTAAATATAGATACGTCAAGATACGTTGTATACGTAAATATATGGAACATTAATAAAAAAATTGACCCGTTTTTGAGGTTCGATGCTCTATCTATATAATCTAAGAATATATTCAGTTAAAAATTAACTACTATAGTTTTCAGAGGGAACCGTGTGTAGGTCGACCTGTTAAGGTATATTGCTAACAATTAGCAAGTTATATCTTATTACTAAAAATCCCTGTCCCCCAAACTGCTAAATGAATTTGAATGCAATTTGATACTCGAGTAGGTATATCCTAGCTTAGCACATAGGATACTTTATGTACGAATTCAGGCGGACGAAGTCACGGCTAAAAGCTAGTACAATATAAATTATTTTAAGTTATGAAGATATTGCAATTTATCGACATATCATCAAATCTCTCATAAAACTCTTTTAGCTATTGAACTCTTTTGTCTCTTTCTGTTATGCTCACTTACCAATTTGAAAGATAGTGACAAAACAGTGTAACAGTTAAAGTAGGTTTGTACAATACTTTAGTTATTACGAATAAGAGGGTAAGGTTTTTTTCGAGACTGCAATTTTCATTTTTACGCTTTGTCCGACCAGCATTGTATCAGAATCCTTTGTGGTTTCAACATACAGTACGGTGCGCTTTTAGTTCTTATAACCACCCTTTTCCAGCCCTAGTTTGGTGTATTGTTTGAATAGTGCAGGTACTATGTCGATAAATCGGTACATCGACAAATCATTTTTTTTATCGGTTAAAATGGTATGATAATCCCGCCTGCGCTAACTGGATACGCTGGTGGAGCACCAGTAAAGGGTGATAGATGAGAATGAAAACAGGCCAGTTAGCCCATCATGATGAATTCATCAGGAATTAACCATGATAGTTTCCAGGGAGAACAGAAAGCGAGGAGATCTATCTGGTTGGGTATAATATATTGCTAGCAATGGGATTCTCAGTCTCTATTACTAACAATCTCTTCCCCCCCATCGACAAATCATCAAGTGATTTGCATCGTACTAACTGTTATCATCGACTTTGTTTGCGTGACCGGGATGTTTATTGACAGAGACTAAAAGTGGCATATATCCTTTACTATCCAGTACATCACTTGTATACCAAATTTCATAGTGATTGGTTAAGCTGTTAAGGCGTTATAAAGTAACAAATAAACTCAATTTCACATTTATAATATTAGTAAGGATAATAATAATCATCATCATCATCATTTCAGCCATTAATTACCATCGCTGGACATAGGCCTCTCCCATAGACTGCCAAAAGAAAGGTTAGGCCACCTATATCCACTGACTCCCTGCAATGCATTTGAGGTTGTCACTCCATCGAGTAGTGGGGTTCGTCCTATATTGCATTTGCCCGTACGGGATAGCCACTCAAGGACTTTTTCCTATCGGTTGTCAGTTCTTTGAGCTAAGTGATTCAGCCCATTGCCACTTCAGCTTGCTTATGAATGATGTAGTGCTTATTTATATTCTACTAAGCCTATAGTTAATATTTCGTTCTAAAGGACTAGGATATTGCAAAAAAACATTTACATATTTCTTCATACAAGTTTATCTAGAGAGATAGGAGCTTAAATTTAGATAATTTATATTCATATTTTATAAAATCATGTTCATTTTTATTAA